GGCAGCCTCCGTGGCGCAGCGGTTTAGCGCCACCTGCGCCCGGGGCATGATCCTGGAGACCCTGGATCGAGTCCCACATCAGGCTCTCTGCATGGAGCCTGCTTCTCCCTCTGCCTGTGTCTCTGCCTCTCTCTCTCTGTCTCTATGAATAAATAAATAAAAAATCTTTTAAAAAAAAGAAAACTATAAACCCTTTATTTAAAAAAATAAATAAATAAAAAATAAAATAAAAACTTATAAAAAAAAAGATTTAAGAATGACCAATAAGAAAAAGAATTAAAAAAAGAAAAAAGAATGACCAATAAGCCTAAGAAGAGATGCCTAGCAGCACTAGTCATCAGGGATAGTTTTTCTAGACTGGTACTACTAAGCATTGGCAAGAAAAACTGGAACACTTGTACTCTGCTGATGGAAGTGCAAAATGGTGAGGCAACTTTGGACAATACTTTGGTGGTTTCTTACATGGTTAAACTATACACTCACCATACAACCCAGCAAACCCATACCTACACGTTTACCTAAGAGAACTGAAAGCATATATATACTATAAGGACTTGTATATGAATTTGTTTATAGCAGCATTATTCATAATTCATACTTGAATAACAACTCAAATGTCTATCAACTGATGAACAGAGAAATAAAATGTGATATAGCCACACAATGGACTACTAGTCAGCAATAAAAAGGAACAAAGGCTACAACACAGATGAATCTCAAGAACATCATGCTAAATGAAAGAAACCAGATTCCAAAAGCAACACACTGTATGGTTCCATGTATATGACATTTTGAAACCAGATGGATGGTTATCTGGGGCCAGGAGTGAGGGACACGGTTGACTGCAGTATGGCACAAGGGAATTTTGGGGGGATGCTGGAACTATCTTGGGTGTGGTGGTGCTTACACAACTGTACACAACAGCTAAAACTTATGAAAGTGTACAGTTCAGATAGGCAAACTTTGTTGTATGTGAATTATGCCTTAATAAAGCTGTTACGAAGTTTTAAAACACATTGCTATATATCTCTACCAAATGACTTTATGCTTATCTCTTGTGATGGGATTTAGGTGCTTTTTACTTTCCTCTCTTCGCTTATCTAAATGCTATAAAATTTCCACAATGATTATGGGGTATTTGTGTCAAGAGAGAAAAAACCAACAATAAAATGCCATAAACATAAATAATCGTGTTATTCCACAAGGAATCTATTGTCGATTCAACATTGTTTTCTTGTAATGAAGCCCATTTGGGTTACCTCCTCCTCATCTATCTTTCCTCAGTGGCACTTTTCAGGGGTGAGCTGAGGAAACAGATGCAAAAAGGTACAGAGCTTAATAGCAATGCTTTGTCCACCCAGCTCTGGGTTTGGCTCTCACCTGGATTTCTGGATGAATACACAGTAGACTAATGATAGGGGGCTCTCGTCCTACTTTGCCAGCTCTCCGCCCTCCATTCCAACCCAAATCAACTCATGCATCTTCCAGGCCCCAAGAGAAAGTTCTTAGCATAGGACTGGGCAGATTGTGGTTTGTGGGGTCCAGGCCAGGAGCCTGCCTCCAGCAACCATTGGTCTATTGAGTGCTGCATGGTCTTGGTGAAGTCAAGAGGCCATTCATCAGTGGAGACCCATGCTTAGATGACCGCTCATGCTGCACGTGGCAAGATGGGACACAGAGTCCCTCCAAGAGTCTTCGGGGCTGGAGGTGCTCAGTGTCAACAGGTCTCTGGCACTTTTCACCCATCACACATCCAATTCATCTTCAGGCTTTCTGCCTGTGGAAGGGCAGTCACCTTAGGAGACCCAACTGGCCCGTAGACGAAGGATGGTACATCAGGAGAAGCATTGTTCCCTCTATGTGCCTCGGGATAGCTGGACAAGACTCCTGACAGGGTCGAGGTATCGGGACACAGGATTCCAGTGAGGACATTGAACCTGTAGCTATAAAAATAGTGTCATAAGATTTTATCCCATGGAGGAAACAATCAATTTTGTAGCCACTCTAGTGAAGAAATAAAGCCCATGAGATGCTCAGAACAGCGGGGTGGGCACAGAGAAGTGAGACAAATCACAGCTTTCCTTGGCCTCTGCTTCGTCACCCATCGATGCTGAGCTGGGAGAGATCCTGAGTTTCCAACCTGGGGTCTCTGTCCCCAGGCTCACACAGGCATTATTTTCAGGAATTACTTCCAATATCTTAAAACTCCACACATGATTCACAATAATTAACATGAGGATGCAACCCAAATGCCCACCAATGGATGAATGGATAAACAAAATGTGGCATACACATACACTATAATGTTATTTGGCCTTAAATAAAAGGAAATTCAGACATACACTACAATACAGATGAACCGTGAAGACATTCTGGTCAGGGAAATAAGCCAGACCCAGAATACAAATACAATTTGATTCCACATGTGTGAGGGACCTAGAGTAGTCAAATTCATTGACACAGAAAGAAGAATGGTGGTTACCAGGAGCAGGGAGAAATGAGGAGTTAGTGTTCAATGGGTATAGCATTACAGTTTGGGATGTTAAAAAAAGTTACGGAAATCTACAGTGGTGATAGTTACATACCAGTGTGAAAACACTTAGGGCCACTGAACTGTACACGTAGAAATGTTAATAATAGTAAGTTTTATGTTGTGTATATTTTACAACATGTACAAAAAACAAATATTCTGCACATACCCACAAGGCCTCACCCCCTCCTGAAAGCATAAAGTCATGCCTGTTACCATTCAGATCAAATCTGTGAATGGGCAGGCACAACCTTTGATTGATTTTCAAAAAAGAAAAACAACAGCAAAATATACAACTATGACCAAGTGCAGTTTTTTGGCAGGCCCAGTCTTTCAAAGCATGGCATCTTTCGGAGGAAATATAACAAAGGGGCCTTGGTGGAGAGGTTGGCTGGGGTGAGCACTCTGCTCTCCCCTCACTATAAAGGCTGTGATTTTGTGGTTGCAGAGGCCATGCTAAAGGAGAAACACACCCCGGAGGAGAAACCACAAGGTGTCTCTGGACAGATCCCACCCAGCCACAGGGACAAGCATTTGGGTTTGAGATGGCCCTTTCTCTGGCCAATTTTTAAAGCCTGGAGACAGAGTTCTTCGCAATAAGCAGCCAGAAACTCTGTGCCCTATGTGACACTCAACACAGAGCACCAGAAATGGGGCCCATATGTGTATCAGCTAATGAGGAGCAGGATGGCATATCCTCTCCTGAGACGCCCCCCTTCATGACCCCCAGATACCAGGACCAGTGTGGGGTCACGATGGGTCTCGAGGGCCTGCTTAGCGCATGGGTTATGGATATTTGTGCACAGAACAGCTCAGTCTGGACATCACAAAAGTAGACACAGTCCCGCTTCCCAGACTGACAGCTTGAAGGGATCCTAGCTCCACGAGTGTTCTGGTTCACTGTCAGGCAGAAAACCCTTTGTAGGAACTTCAATTCTCCTCCCCATTATGCTCCAGCCACTTCCCTGAGAGGCAGACTGCATCTGGAAAATATAACAAAGGGGCCTTGGGAAGAAACCTCAGAAGACAAATTCTAATCCAAACCCTGCCACTCTGTGGTTGATGACCTTGGCCCCTTGCAGCCTCGCTCACATGGATCCAATGAGACAGCATCTGAGGACATGCTCTCGGAGATCGTACTGTACAACTGCTCTGGAAGTTTCCTCTGCTCCTATGTCCAGTACTTAGAGTGGAGTAAAACAGGGTTAAGTCGTTGTCCATTACAGAAGCCATCAAGCCTCGGAGCTGCGTTCTCTGGCCTGACCCCTGGAAATAGTTATTTGCTATGCACTACAGTCCTAGCAACATTGTGTTTTCTGTAGAGATGAGGGGGAAATGTCCAGTGAGCTGCAGATTATCCGGGCCTTGCGGGGATCACACTGAGGCAATGCCATTTCCTCCCATCTCATGGAGAGAAGCCTCATTTCTTTGAGGAGATGCAGGTACACTGGGAGACAGCCAGAGAAAACAAAGGACCTCTGGTTGCCAGAGGTTGCCCCTTTTCAGAGGACTGGAGTTCCGTGTACCAAGGAAGGATTTGGTGGTGGAGCTCCAGAAGGCCCCGAGGGCACCTGGAGAGTCTACCCACTTCTGAGCCCTGAGGCAACAGGGAAGCGAGGCCTTGGGAAGGCTTTGTACGTGCAGCTCCAGTGGGCAGATGTGTTTCCAAAAGCTGAAAGGTACTGTGCTTTCCCTCCTGCCCTTGAGTAAACACTGTGGCCTTACAGCTGCCCGTCGCATTGTAAATTCTTGCGCGGGCCTGAGTGATGGCAGTGGGCCCTCTAAGGAGGGGAGGGAGGACCCTCCTCTTTTCTTGGGGCTCCGGCCCAAAGGGCAAGACCCAGAGTGTCTGCAACTGACAATCCTGCAGCTGCTCAGACACGATGTCCCATGCAGTACTCTGGGAAGAAGAGAACGGCCCAGAACCCCTCTCGGAGCAAGCAAAAGACAACCCTACAGGGAGTCGGCAGGAGACAACACCGTGTTCTCCCGGGAAAGGGCGAAGCAGAGGCGCTTCAGTAATACGTGAGGGACTCCAGCACATGGACACAAAGCATCAAACGGACGGGACAACTTTGCTTTTTCTCCTTCCCAGCAGCGCCATTAGGATTTACCCATTTCACTGTGCTCCACCTTAGGGGGCTCTTCCGGGGACAGCTGGAGAGGTCCACGCAGGCACTGAGTCAGGCTCCTGGGAGGTGTCCAGCTGAGAGCCCAGGCTAGTCCCCTCGTCTCCGGTCCTCAGCTTCTCCTCTGTAGGAGGAGGGACAAGAGAACCTACTCCCGCAGCGTGGTGAGGATTCCGGGAGCCGGCGCGTGTGCGCAGTCGGCCACAAGGAAGGGTTTGCTGGAAAGTGGCTTCCTTCCGCCCCGGGAGGGGGGAGGGGGAAGGCCGCAGAAGAGCAGATGCCCCCAGCGGCTGCCACCGCCTGTCCCGTCCAGGCTGCCGCGGCCCGCCGGGGCCCCGGGGTCCAGGCCCGTCCGGGTGCCGCTCAGATATCCCACGCGGGGATGGTGACGGGCAGCTGGCCGCAGCCAGGGCCCTCCCCGGCCACGCCGTGGTGGGCCACCCGGCCACCGCGCAGCGGGAGGCGGCCGGGCCGGGGCGCCCCGCTGCTCTGGCCCGAGTCGCTGGGCGGCACCTCCAGGGAGGGCGGGGCGCGCAGGAGCCCCCCGGGCCGCTCCGAGTAGGCCTCCCTGGGGCGCGCCCCCTGCGGCGGGCACGGGCAGAGCTGCGCGCGGAAGGCGGCCTGGAAGCCGCGGCGGAAGTTCTCGTTGAAGTAGCCGTAGATGACGGGGTTGGCGCTGCTGTTGCAGAAGGCCAGCCAGTGCGCCAACGGGAAGGCGTAGACGGTGACCAGGTGCAGCTGCGGCTCGCTGAGCTGGCCGTAGTCGGTGAGCAGCAGCAGCGCCCAGAGCGGCAGCCAGGACAGCGTGAAGACCAGCGCCACCACGACCAGCATGTGCACCACCCGCGCGCGGCGCCGGGCCCCCCGGCCCCCCCCGGGCGCCGCCTCCCCGCCCGGCCGCGCGGGCCCCGACGCCTTGCACAGCTTGCGGGCGATGCGCGCGTACATGAGCACGATGAGCGCCAGCGGCGCCAGGTAGATGTGCGAGAAGAGCACGGTGGTGTAGACCCTGCGCATGCCCTTCTCGGGCCAGGCCTCCCAGCACGAGTAGAGCGGGTAGGAGCGGTTGCGGGCGTCCACCATGAAGTGGTGCTCCTGGCGCGTGACGGTCAGCGTGACGGCCGAGGGGCACATGATGAGCAGGGCCAGCGCCCAGATGACCGCGATGGTGACCAGCGCCTTGCGCAGCGTCAGCTTCTCGCGGAAAGGGTGCACGATGCAGCGGAACCTGCGGCCGGAGAGGAAAGAGAAGTGGGCTCGGGACGGGTCCCAGGGGTCCCAGGGGTCCCAGGGGTCCCTGTCCCCCACCCCCACCGCCCCGGGGGGAGGGGGGCAAAGGCTACGCCTGGCGGGGGCTGGCAAAGTGCAGGCACTCCACCGGCAGCATCCAAGAGCAGCATCCAAGGGCAGCTTTCAAGAGCAGCTGGGGGTGGGGGCGGTTTGGGCTCTTTGCGAGCAAATTGGTTCACACCTGCGAGGGAGCCCGCAACTCCATTGGCTGCAGAGCCAAGGAACAAAGGCAGAACCAGGAAGGAGGAAGGAACTGCAGGCAGCTGTGGGAAACAATCCTGTGCACTTTGGGGATGGAGGGGAGGGGGGTAAATTGATGAGCTGGCAGCTAGCAAAGTGATCAGTCTGCACATTCTGTCCTTTGAGTAGGCTGATTAGGTAGGTGTATCAAAGAACATTTTTAGCTGTTTAAGGATTCTTCAGAAAACCCTGGGGGTTCAGGTGTGGAGTCTACATGACAAACTGTCCCTATGTCATCTTGGCCAGCGTCCTTGCCTGCCTCCCATGCTCTCTCGGGAAGAGTGCCCTGGGGAACCCTTAGTGCAAGAGCTCACTGAGGGGGTGGAGGGGAGGAGGACCTACTGCATACATTTGGGTCAGTTTTGTTGTTTGCAAAGCTTCCTTGTCCCCTGGCTCCATTCTATTAGCCAAACTCATGCTTATCAGAGAATCTGATGGAATCTGAGGCTGAAAGAGACCACAGGTAGCTTGAGGTAGGGTAGAGATGAGGAGTTAGTAAGGCCTGGGCTGCCAGGGAACAGCAAGTAGGGAGTAGGAGAAATGGGAGGGCAGTGAAGGAGCAAGGCCATGCTCTGTGCACCCCACCCTGAAACTGGCTTTCCTTGCTCAGACTCATGGGTGGCAGGATTCCTACGGCTCAGGAAATAAGGACTGCTGTCAGGCTCTCACAGGACCCAGGAATCCCTAGTAAACCTCCACGGGAGCTGCCTTCAGGCCTCCCAGAAGAAGGTGTGGTGTTCTCTTTAGGTCCCCCTAGTGTAGAGGGCAGCCAGCCCCACAGCCCTTCCCTTGATAGCTCATGATTCAGCCCCAGCCTCCTGGTCAGCGTAACAGTGGAGACGGTGGCTCTTTCTAGTGCTTTCTAGTGCTCTATCCCGTTGGCCAGGGATAACTCTACCAGGAGCCCTCTCACCTTTCCACAGCAATGGCCACCAGTGTGAACACGGAAGCCGACACAGACATGCCCTGCACCAAGCCGCTCATCTTGCATGTGGCGTTGTCAAAGGGCCACCCTGCAATGACAGAGTCCACCACAGAGTGAGTGCCTTATCCACAAAGAGCCAGAGATCATGGGCTATTTAGTCCAGTCCCCTCCGTGACTCGGATCTATCCTCCGCGTCCTGCTAGGTGGTCATCCTGCCTCTGCTTACACACTTCCAGAAATGATGAACTGACCTGTGTATACCACCGTGGTCATAGTTCTCACGGTTAGAGAGACAGTCTTTGTACTGACCAATGATTTCTCTCCAGGAGCTTTGTATCTGTCCAGGCCTGCCTGGCTTTCTGCCCCCATAGCCCTGCTTCAAGTTCTAGGCCAGCAGTTCTCCACCCTGGTCACTCACTAGAATCACCTGAGGGCTTTGAAAAGAGCCAGTACCCAGACCCATGCCAGGTCAATTACAATCAGCATCTCTGAGGGTGGGACCAGACATCAGTACTTTTCAGATCTACCCAGGGGATCTGAGTGGCAGCCAAAATTGAGAACCACTGGGACAGAGCAAACCTCACTCCCAGGTCGCGGAGACATACGCAGATTTAGCTTTGATTCCTGGGCTGCTCTACCCGGAGACCTGGGCCCCACTTGGCCTCAGGACTGGAAGCCAGATCCACACCTTGGTTCCTTGAGGCCATGTGTTGGTAACTGCCCTGTGTCTCTGCCCTTCTAGGCCTGGGGGTCCCACCTGTTCTTGTCTCTCGTGCCTGGCCACAGGAGCCCTCTCCCAAGGCTGGGCCCACCTTCAGTGGCAGTTGACTTTCTGCCTGCACAATTACTAAGTGTCAGTCACTGTCTTGTTCCATCCTCCCAACAACCCTAGTGTAATATCCTTTTCATGGAAGAGAAGACTGAGGCGAGATGAGTTGGTTTCGTCTCTTTGCCCCCAAATCACTATGGGTTAGTGTGAGAGTTTGGTGTGGGTGCTGGGGAAACTGGAAACCTTTTCAATCTTGAACCACGTGAATGTGTTCTTCAAACAATTGTTAAAATTTAGGCAGGTGAAAAGGGCTGGAGACACCACCTTAACCAACTAGTGACTTCACCATATCATTATTAACTGGTGCATGTGTATGTGCGTGCCTATAGGTGTGTGCACACATGCATATGTGTGAGTGTAGGTGTGCTGGGAAGGAGAGGATGAGCATTTTATGTTCAACAGCCCTGATGGAACCTGAGATCCAGCTGTGAGTGAAGGTCCCACCAGGCAGAGCCAGTGCAGCTCAGGGACAGGTGACTGCCCTGGCTCTACTTCCCAGGGCCTGAAACCTGTAGAAACACAGACTGTGACTCCCCTGCCCCAAGTCAGGTAAGTCATTTCCAGTGGAGCTGTCCAGGCTCTGGAGCCAAGCTCCTGGGCACTTTGAGTTCAGAACCTGCAAGCTCAGACCTCTAGACATCTCCACGGCTCTGGAAGCCAGTCCAGCTAGAGTCTCAGGGGTCCGTGGAAACTTATTCTGAAACAAGAAAGACAAATCACCTGGGAGGGAGTAGACGAGAGTGTGATCCTTCTGATGTTTGCGGGATGAAAAGGCAGGAATTTAGAGGTCAGATGGTCTAGTTCTGCTTGAATCCCTTCTACCAAGTCACTGTTAAATGGCTGGCCAGTCCCTACTTTAGACACTCGTGAAGGGAGGTCACTACCGTAGGATAGAATCTCTTTGGTTGGAGAACAACTCAAATAAGTGGATCATTAGGTCCTTATTCAGGGGAAACCTATGGGTTCTAGCTCTGCCCAGGGGAGCTACTCAGAAGAGTAAGACTTAATGGCGTAATGGTTAGAAATATGGGTGTAGGGACGCCTGGGTGGCTCAGTGGTTGGGTGCCTGCCTTCGGCTCGGGTCATGATCCTGGGATCCAGGATCGGGTCCCGCATCGGGCTCTCTGCGAGGAGCCTGCTTCTCCCTCTACCTGTGTCTCTACCTCTTTCAGCCTGTGTCTCTCATGAATAAATAAATAAATCTTTAAACAAAAAACAGACAAAAGAATATGCGTATGAAGACATGGGACTTGACACTTAGCCGTGTAACTACAGATCTGTGTCTCGTCACTCTGAGCACCAGTATCCCCATCCCAAAAATCAGGACAATAATAACAATGCGTTGGACTGTTGTGAGCATTAGTGAAGTTAATGCAGGAAGAGTAAGTCATACAATTCCTGGAACCAAGAGAAGAATTAGTTCATTGTATCTATTATTTCTAACCCAATCCCTCAGCCACAAGAATGGAGAGTTTGAGACAATGACATCTTGGCCAAGAGACCAGGCCAGCAATGCTTTTGGGGGCAGAGGGGACTCCCACTGCCTCCATGGCCTACACTCACCAGTGATGAGGTTGTCCACGAGAGTAGTGGGCATGCAGAAGATGCCCACCAGCAGGTCACTGACAGCCAGGTTGAGAATGAACATGTTGGTGACGGTGCGCATGTGCCGGTTCTTGAGCACAATGAAGCAGACCAGGGCGTTGCCCACCATGCAGAGGAGGAAGATGAGCACATAGGCCACAATGAACATGGCTGCCACTGGTGAGGAGTGCTGGTAGTAGGAGGAGAAGGTGAGGTTTACTGTAGGCGTGGCCTTGGTATGACTCCCATTCTGGCTTGGGGGCCAGCTGCTGTTAGGAGGCTGGGAGGGCTCCCCTAGAAGCAAAGGAGCATACAGGTCAGGATCCTAGGCAAGGAAGAGATGATCGATCTTGCCACTGGTGAGGCCCTTCAGTGCTCCAAATCCTGACCATGACCTAGCACCTCGATCGTGTGCTTGACTCTGATTGTGACTAGATGCACGTTCAACCCACTGCACCCAAACCCTGATCTCATACCTTCATCTCATCTCGTCCACAACTCATTTCCCAATGTTGGTTATTCTCCATTCACATACAGCCCACCCCCCTGCCCCATCTGGGCTCCACCCTTCTTAGTTAGTCCTACTGTCTGCCCCAGAGGCTGACCTCCAAGGACTACCACAGCCAGGTTCCCTCACTCTCTGGTTTCTGACCAGGTTCAGCCAATGGAAAGCACTGAAGGAGACTGAACAACTGGAGAAGCCAGACCTCAGGGTATTTCTCTTCCCACTCCCTCCTTGCCTGACCCTCTTCTCCTGTGGGGCTGTCCATATGGGTACAGCTCCTGTTAGGTGATGCTCTTCCAGGACTCTAGCTCTTTTGGGGCCAGACTGATACTGTTTTCTCTCCTTGCACCCACAGCTTCCTGTGATCGCCACCAGTCCCAGTGCTTGTTCATCCCTTGCTGGTTCTCTTACCCTCCCCCTTATAAAGTCCCTCTATTAAACTCTCAGGTAAATGCTTTCTGGGTGCACCACTTGTTTTCTCCTGGGGCTCTGCCTCTTGTACCCTCAAAATCTTGTTGTCCCTCTTCCTCTCCTCCAGAGAACTTTAGCTGGGAAAGGCAAGAAGGCAACACAGAAAGGGACAATGGAAGAGGACTCTGAATGAGGGTAAGGAGCAAAGGCCCACGTTAAATTTACCAAAAGTCCATCCAAAGCCAAGCCAAGCTACCATGCATCCTTCACTCTCTCCCATCATGGTACCAGCTGCTTCATTTGCACAGCATTTAACAAAGCACTTGTTATGCATATGCACTTGCATATGCATTTTTTTTTATTTTTAAGGAGATTTTTATTTATTTATTTGAGAGAGAGAGAAAGCATGATCAGGAGAGGGAGAAGCAGGCTCCTGCTGAGCAGGGAGCTTGACACAAATTCAGTCCCAGGGCCCTGGAATCATGACCGGAGCTGAAGGCAGATGCTTAACCAACTGAGCCACCCAGGTGCCCTGCATATGCATTATTTTATCTCATCCTCCCAATCACCCCCTGATGTAAACATGTTAGGTATTAGCCCCTTTTGAAATGGGAGAACTAAGATCAGAGGTGTTCTGTGACATTCCCCAGGTGGCTCAGGAGTATGTAGCAGAGGTGGTCCTGCTCTGTGCATCTCTGAATCAGTTCCAGGCTTCAGCGTGTCCTTCCCCAGCCACCTTTGGGAAGGAGCAGCTCTGTGTCCAACCACAGCTCCTCTGGGAAGCCATTAGTTGTGGTGACTCATGATGTTGTCTCATAAACTCTCCTCCTGTCTTCCGCTGGGACTGAGTGTGGCCTGTTCCAGGGGATGAAGGGTCTTTGGGGAATTTTCTGTCACATCCAGAGCTCAGCCACTAGCCTGGAGACCCACCGGAGGCTTGGGATCTGGAGGCTAGTGATGCTCTAGGGCCAATGAGCTGGCAGGACCAGGGCTGGAGGGCCCAGCAGGGGCAGCAGGTGCACTCGGGCTGGGTGGAGGTGGAGACCTGGCAAGCTTCAGGTGCATAGTGAGAGGAGGAGGTGCTGACCCCCTGTTTAGGTGCTCTTGGGTGTCCAGTTGCACCCAAATATCTCTATTTTACTCTGGAAGACGTCAAACATGCACAAGAGAGAACATTATAGTGAACATATACAAGAGTATATCGCTGGGACACTGGGTGGCTCAGGAGTTGAGTGTCCGCCTTCAGCTCAGAGTGTGATCCTGGAGTTCCAGGATCGAGTCCCACATTGGGCTCCCTGCATGGAGCCTGCTTCTCCCTCTGCCTCTTTCTTTCTGTGTCTCTCATGAATAAATAAATAAAATCTTTAAAAAAAATTTTTTTAAAGAGTATATCGCTTAACGAACTATTCCAAGAGAGGAATATAAAGACCTCCTGTGCATACATCCTCCACCTTCAACAATAATCAACTTGGGGGCAGCCGGGTGGCACAGCGGTTTAGCGCTGCCTGCAGCCTGGGGCATGGTCCTGGAGACCCAGGATCGCGCCCGCGTCGGGCTCCCTGCATGGAGCCTGCTTCTCCCTCTGCCTGTGTCTCTGCCTCTCTCTCTCCTCTCTGTGTTTCTCATGAATAAATAAATAAAACCTTAAAAAAAAAAAAAACAATGATCGACTTAAGGCTAATCTGGTTTCACCCATACCCACCTCTCTTTGGAACAGCACATCGCTTTCTTTTATCTGCAAACACTCCAGTTTGTATTGCTAAAAGATAGAACTAAGAAAAAAACAAAAACAAAAAAAACCCCTCACGTAACCACAGGATTTATACCTAACAAATTGACCTAACAAAATTATACCTAACAAAATTGACAATTCTGTCTAATATGATCACTGCCCCAGCATCCAACATTCAAATTCCTTGATCACTAGATAATTTTTAAAAGTTTGTTTGTTTATAGTAATCTCTTCACCCAGGCTCAAACTCACGACCCTGAAATCAAGAGTTGCATGCTCTTCCCAATGACCTGATGCCATTAGCTGTTCACCAATGTTTTGAGCAGCAGCCCCTAAGTATTATTGCCTAGACCCCTCATTGTCTTTCAAATACAATCCAAACTCTGTCCTCAGAGGCATCCAAAACGCTCTGTGCTCTGACCCCGTCACCATCTCTGACCTCACCCCCTGCCACATTCCTGTTTGCCTGTTCGGCCCTGACCACCTTGCCTGGCTCCTACACGCTTCATCTCTGTCCAACTACAAGGATTTTACCCCTTCCTATTGCTCCTGTCTCCTCCTCCCCTTATCTCTCAGCTTAGACTAGGCTGTCTTCTCAGAGAAAAGCCTGACCTGGTCGCTCTATTTCAAGTAGTTGCCCTCCTATTTATTAGCTCTCACAGCATTTTCTTTAGTTTCCTCCATCTGTCCACATATTATTTGTTTTTGGGTTGATTGGCTTTTTACTTCCCCACCCTTGAAAGTCAGGTCCTGGAGAGCAGTTGGCACCTGCATCCCCAGCATCTCATCAGTCCCTGCCCATGGTCAATGGTTCAGTAAATGGTCGTTGGATAGGTACATATTTGCTTGAAAAGAAAAAGGAAGGAAAGGTGGATTCTGACATCGGGAGACAGGGGGATGTTGCTGGTGTTGGAAGGCTTTCACGGGCTCTTCTGGAAGGAACCCCATCCCATGTCTGTCGGGAGCCTCCCCGGGCAGCTCACCCTTCCTGAGCCCCAGATCAGCTCTGAATCAGTCCCCATGACATAAGAAATCTGTGGGTGTGCACGGGTAGAGGAAATTGCCGCAACCTGCCGGGCCATACTCCAGTCTGTTTTTCCTTGCCCTTCGCTCAGCCTTGAGAAGTGCTTAGTGAGCTCCTATTCTGTAGTCCTTGCCCAGGGAGTGCCCCTGCCCATCTCCAGACCCTCGGCTGCGCTGGGCATCTCTCCCCACCCTCACTGCAGCTTCCAGCATTGCTGAATGATCCTTTCTCAGGGAGGATTCCTGGCAACTCCCCTGGGTAGGGGTGAATTGAGTTGGGAGTGGGCAGGCCTCCCACCCCAGCTGGGCCGCGCTAGTAGCCAGAGGCCTCATTAACACCCTGGACTCGCCCTTCCTGCGATCTGCCCAGTGCCCTCGTGGATACATTAAAGTCTGTGAAAATCTTATCCGCTGAATCCAGTCAAGTCATTCCCTTACTTGGGGAGCTTCCTGGAGGTCTCAGGATACAGTAACGGTTGCCTCCAAGGCATTCTGATGATCTCAGAGAGCAAGTCCAGGGCCAGAGAGAAGATGAAGGTATCCTGGTTCTCACTGTGATCCTGGCCAGCGGCATCAGCATCACAGACTTGTCAGAAATGCACATTCTCAGGCTTCATCCTGCCCGAGGGAGCCTGAAGCCCAACTGTCTTAACACATCCTCCAGGTGATTCGGATGCAACACGAGTTTGAGAACCACAGATTTAGGGACATCTGGGTGGCTCAGCAGTTGGGTGTCTGCCTTTGGCCCAGGGCGTGACCCTGGCATCTGGGATCAAGTCCCGCATCAGGCTCCTTGTGGGGAGCCTGTTTCTCCCTCCGCCTGTGTCTCTGCCTCTCTCTCTCTTTGTGTCTCTCATGAATAAATAAATAAAATATTTTTTTAAAAAGAGAACCACAGGTTTAAAGGACTTGGCCCAAAGGCTCTGGAAACAGTGGACACACACAGACTGGGAGGCTCCAGCCCTCCTTCCTGGCACTTCAGGTGTCCCCTCAACATTCACAAATTGAAACCTAATCCCCAATATGATGGTATTGGAGCTGGGGCCTCGCGAGATTAGATTCCCATGGCGCGCTGTCATGAATGGAAACAGTGCCTTTCTGAAGGAGACCTCATCCCTTCCACAGTGGAGGACACAGCAGAAAGAGGGCTGTGTGCAAAGCGGGAAGCGAGGCCTCAGCAGGCATCATCGTCTGCACCTGGATCTTAGCCTTCCCAGCCTCCAGGACTGTGACAAATAGGTTTCTGTTGTTTCTAAGCGCCCCCCTCCCCATGGTGTTTTGTTACAGCAGCCCCAAGACTGGAAAACTGCCTGGCCTCTGTAGGAACTCAGTGTTCTCATCTTGAAAGTGGAAACACTTGATTCCTGGCTGTGACCTAGCATAACTCACACCACCTCTCTGGAATCCAGGGTTCTCACTGGTAAGATGGGGATAGGGAGGTGCAGTGAGGGCCATTGGGTGGAGGGGTGGAGGGGTGGAGGGGCCTTGGCACAGTGCTGGGCACACAGCACTCCATGCATGTAGCTCAGTACCAGCCAGACTGGCAGTGTTAACTACACAACGGATGTGAGGGTGAGACCTTCGTGATGCTCTTGGTCTGGGCCTCCCCGCAAAGCCTGAAAGCTGTGTGAGAGAGAAAACACCACCAGAACCA